CGTACTACCCAACGAGTGTTCAAGGGTTGACTACTTCAGATAGAATACAGTCAGGCATTTGTACAACAAAGATTGTTGTTTTCTTATAGCAGAGATTTTTTATTCCTCACATAATCATGTTATCAAGTCAAAAGTGGTGTCACCAGCAGAGGTGTATATTGTATCTCCAGCAGAGCAGAGTTTTGTCTTCCCATAGAGGCTAATCCCCAACAATATGAATTTATTCTCAGCATATTCCCAACAGAGTAACGTTGAAGGATATTCCCTCAACGGCAGGGTGGATGTCAACTCGGTATTGCTCTCCAACAGAGTCGACGTTCTGGAAGTCTCTCCCCAACAAGATCAGTATTCATGGAATTTCTTTTTCCAAACAGAGTTTAGTGTTGATTCCCTCGACGGGTACATCAATGGCAGACGGGTATCTCCATCAAAATCTAATGGTCATTGGCATCTTTCAGGGTCAGCTTTCGGGACGGGCTCTTGACAGATGATATTCTCATTTTCCTCAGGGCAGGTGTTTACACAGAGCTTGTTTATTCCCCAGTAGAAGGAGTTCTCTGTGAATGTTCATTACATTCCCTTTGGAAGGGAATCGTTAACAGAGGTTACTTTCATCTCTTCGTCGGGATGGAATCTTCAGTAGAATTCTCTGACATCCCCAACAGGGCGATTTGTTATTTGCATGTCCCCGACAGAGCGGATTTTTATTCTTGTATTCCAAGCAGAGTGGAACCTTCAACAAGAGCTTGTTATCCTCACCAGGTTGGATTTTTCAGCATTATTCTTGATTCCCCATTAAGTGGAGTTTTGGTGTTTTTCCCAGCATGGTGAAGTTTTTCGAAGAGCCATCCAGGGTGTATTCCCCAGCAGGGTGAAGTTTTTCCAAGAAGGCCATCCAGGGCGTATTCCTCAGCAGGGTTGGTTTGCTGGTCTTCTCAGCACTCCTTCAGGTTATGTTCCTTTGCATTTGCATAACATCCTCCTAAATGCGTAGCATTTCCATTTCTTATGAAGCATTACGCCACTTCCAAGCATATGCATCTAAAGCATAAGCCAAGTTTGATACCTTTGGTGCCAGTTATCTCTTTGGCAGATGATGGTTTTATTCAGAAGATTTTTGTGTTATCTCAATCAGGGTGGATTTTTTGGTTGTTCATCTTATTTGGGTTCTCCCCGGCTGAGTCATTTGTTTAAACGTCTTTTCTTCAACAGAGTTGTTTGTTTAACTTCCCTTTTCTCAGCTGATTCGTTTATTTAAACATCGTTTCTCCCCGACAGAGTCGTTTGGTTAAACTTCTCTTTCTCCGTCTGAGAAATCTTTGCAGGTTATGAGTCGGTTGATTCTATTTCCTGCCTATTCCGGGTGTGTCATTCCAACTCTTGGTTGGTGATTCCCAGTTTAGTCCAAATTTTTGTTGATGTTATTCCAACTCTTAGTTGGTAATCTCCATTTCGTGAATGTTATCCCAACTTTTTGTTGGTAACCTTGTTTTATTCCAACTTTTGGTTGGTAGTCCATTGGCGGTTGGATGTTATCCCAACTTTTGGTTGGTAATCCGTGGCTTGTTGGATGTTATTCCAACTTTTGGTTGGTAAAGTTTTGTTGTTGTTATTCCAACTCTTGGTTGGTAATCTTCATTTCGTGGGTGTTATCCCAACATTTGGTTGGTAACATTTGCTTCATTCCAACTTTTGGTTGGTAGTTCATTGGTGGTTAGTTGTTATCCCAACTTTTGGTTGGTAGTCCTCTTCTATTCCCTGGCGGAGTTGTTATCCCGATTTTTGGTTGGTAATCCGTGGTTTGTTGGATGTTATTCCAACTTTTGGTTTGTAAGGTTTTGTTGAGGTTATTCCAACTCCTGGTTGGTAATCTTCAGTTTGTGGGAGTTATCCCAACTTTTGATTGGTAACCTTTGTCTCGATCCCAACTTTTAATTGGTAATCCATCGGTGAGATCCTTTTTCCCCGGCAGTTATTCCAACTTTTGGTTGGTAAAGTTTTGTTGACGTTATCTCAGCTTTTGGTTGGTAGTCCTTGATTTCCCCTGCGGAGTCTGTTATTCCAACTTTTGGTTGGTAGTCGTCGTTGTGGTCAGTTCGCCCTTGATCGGTGTTCCAAGGATTCTAACTTTTGGTTGGTAGCCTTTGCTTGATTCCAACTATTGGTCGGTAATCCCCAGCTTTGTCGTCTTGTTGACGTTATTCCATCTTTTGGTTGGTAACCTTCGTTTTCTGGTTGACTATCCCAACTTTTGGTTGGTAGTCTTTATTTTGGGGTTGTTGATTCTAACTTTTGATTGATAGTCTTTCTTTGTTGGTTTAACTATTGGGGTTGGTATCTTTCTTCCTTAGAGTTCGCCTTCGATCGGCGTTCGGGTGATTCTAACTTTTGGTTAGTAGCCTTATTCTTCAGCTTTTGGTTGGATGTTATTCCTGGCAATTTTGAAGTGATTCCAACTTTTGGTTGGTAGCTTGTGTTCGGGTTTGTTTCATCCAGTGATTTCAACTTTTGGTTGGTAGCTTATGTTCAATTTTGTTCGGCGTTCGGATGATTCCAACTTTTGGTTGGTAGGTTGTGTTTATTACCTTTCGTTGTATTCCAACTTTTGGTTGGTACACTCCCTGATGAGGTCGCTGTTTTCAGGATTTTTGTTCCCCGTCATTTCGCCTTCGGTCAGCGTCGTGGTGATTCCAACTTATGGTTAGTAGCTTTTGTTATTCCAACTCTTGGTTTGTAGTGTTTGACTTTTATTCCCAGGGAGTAACATTTATCTCATCTTTTGGTTGGTATCCTTTGATTATTATCTTCTGATGGGCACTTGTTCCCCACAGAGTTGTCTGTTTAGACTTCTCTTCGTCCCTAGTGGAGTTGTCTTTTCCCTCAGGTTGTAAGTCCGTTGATGTACATCCTGCAGGTTCTTGATTTGATTTTTGTCTCCCAGAAGGTTACCTTTGGTCGGCATTCTCGTTTCTCCCAACTATTGGTTGGTATCCTTTGGTTGGTATCCCCACTCTTGATTGGTATCCGTTGGTTTTTATTCCAACTCTTGTCGCTTCATTCCAACTTTTAGTTTGTATCCGACGGTTTTGTTCCAACTTTTGGTTGATGTTTTGTTCATCTTGGATTGTTATCCTCAGCGTGTCACATCCCAAATTTTGGTTGATATTCGTTGTTTTGCATCCCCGCAGGTTGCAAATTTCTGGGTTTTTTTGGTATTCAATTTTCATGCACCTTGAATGTTTAAAAGTCGTTACTATCATTCCTTCAGGTTCAAATCGATTGAATGGGGACAGCTGTAACACCCTAAAATTTGCCTCATCGTTTCTTGGATTACTGGCTTTTATTTCTTTGCATTTTGCATTTCCACATATCATAGCATTTGGTTCTCGAGACATGGGATCAAGGTGTTTCTTGGACTCAGGGTTCCCTTTCATTGCAAAAAACGAGGAAATACGTAGGCGTAAGGCGGCGATGTCCTATCAAATCTCTTTTTTTTCTTTTGTTCTCGTTTTCGTTTAGCAGTAGCTTATAGATAAACACACCCTTTGATTAGACAATAAGCGTGGATCCCGTTAAATACAACAGACGTAAGGGGTGTAATACCTTCCATTTGCGTAACCGACTCCCGAACCCAAGATTTGGTTGCAATGACCTTGTCTTTTCCTGTTTTTCAGGTTTTCTTCGATCGTTTCTTTTCCTTTTCTTTGGAATAAATAACATTCGATGGCGACTTTTCTGTTTTTCGCCGGGTGTTTTTCGCAGTTGCAACACATATTCCTAAAATTCGGCACCCACTACTAACTCAATAAACTATCCCTTAAATACTAGGACAAACTCAAAACAAATCAATTACAAACATAAATAACATAATAAATTAATATTTCTAATAAAGGTGGCAATAGCAAAAATAAATGGTAGCAAATTTAAATACAATTAAAATCCCTTGCAGAGATTATGGGAAAGGAAGAGCCTACTTGCCTAACAGATCATTACTATAAGTCTAACAGCATTCAGCACTAAACATCAGCTCAGAATCCAATCAGGAAAACATTTATTTTTGTTCTGTTACATTTATCGACAACAAAAGAGAAGATCTTGGTAGTATGAAAAGAGAAAAACTTAACAGATCTATATTACAAAGAAACTGAATTTCAGGAAATTACAAATGTAATGCCCATGTAAAAAGTGATACTGCAATTTCCAACTTCTCAGTGTAGGAAGGAGAACCAGTAATACAGTAGAATTTTGAAGTTATAATGATACAGAGACTGTCACTCAACATTTGCGACGACAATGGCCTAAGTGCTTTGCTTCATGTTACAGCCAGATGCTGTATAAAAACCACAAATCTGCTTTATCATAGAAAGTTAAGTTACAATACAACCACAACAATGAGAAAAGAGTTGAGCTGTAAAAACTATTGCATGTGTATATATATATATATATATATATATATATATATATATATATATATATATATATATATATATATATATATATATATATATATATATATATATATATATATATATATATATATATATATATATATATATATATATATATATATATATATATATATATATATATATATATATATATATATATATATATATATATATATATATATATATATATATATATATATATATATATATATATATATATATATATATACACTTTGAACACTAAGGAATTAATGCATCCTCATGAATACAATAAATAAAAATAAAGGAACAAGAAAAAGGAAACCAAAACAAAACAAAAAGATGGAGCACAAGATTTGTTTCTCAGCTCTAGAAACCAATTAGAGAAATAAATTTAGCATGAAGAGCTATCAAGATTCGTTAAAAGTAAAGTAAACCTGGGTTTACTCGATTTCTTAATTCTTGTTAACATCAGAGCTCCAGTGTTATTAACTTTGTTTCAATCCTGTTCCTGAAAAATATAACAGGGCCACCCATTCTTACAAACAGATGAATTTGAACTTTGGACATCCTCTATTCTCCACTAACATCAAATAATAAGCTTACCATCTTGATGACACTTGATAACGAGTTCTCTGATAAGCATCTTGTGTGAATGATGGGACCCCTTCCAGAACTCGTATCTTTGATTCCAATCTCATTATCACTATCAGAGCCAGTCACGTAAACAGCCCCTTTGAACATCCACTCGCTATTTTCCGGACAGTAAACGTCTTCAAATAGCTCGCCACACAACACACATAAGCATTGGTTTTCATCTGCTAGAACCATTGCATCCTCTTGACTTTCGTCTGTTTCCTTGTCTTGTGAATCTACAGAATCAGTAAACTCATTTTCAGGTGAACATTCAGCTTGGCCAGCAACCCAGTCAGTTGACTTCAGATACCATCTTGATGTTGTAGTTAAACCCCTGTGTTCTCTTTCTCTTGTGTCGTGCCACTCCAAGTGTCTATTAAACTGTTCTTGGAATTTGAGCTTAAGGCCACAAATGCTGCAATGATGTGGAAAATCATCAAATAATCCACTAATTACAGATGGATGCAATTTTCTGATTACATTAGGCTTAAACTCAAAGCCAATGACATTTCTAATATCTGTGCTGGTTGATTCAGATAAGGTCATAGGTGTTTTTGCAGTATCATCTAACTCATCTTTGGTAGAAGGAACGGGGACAGCTGCAGAACCAGACAATGAAGCAACAGGCATAGAGCTACTGGTGCTAAAGCTGTCACAGTGATCTTCCAATCGAGACACCACCTCAGCCGGTGTCTCAGTTTCTGTTGATATTAAACCCTTTGCAACTAATGAGCTTAAAAGGTTTGAAAGTGGATTTGAGGTTTTATTTGTAGCACCGGATGTCTGGGCTGAGGCACTGCTAACATTCGAGGAAGCTGGTGGTAGAGTAGATGTCCTTATTGAATGTCCAGCCTTTCTTTTAGATCTTTTTGGCAAAGCAGATGAAGATGGAGAAGCATTTGCAGACACTGAAGAAATTAATGTGGCAGGGGAAGAACCACCTGACTGAGAAGGCCGAGACCCTAATATAGATGGAAGACTACTAGTAGTTGGGATGGAGAATAGTCTACTCTTCACACTTGCAGCTTCTGTGTGACTTGTGGCTGGCTGCTCTGAGGTTTCTCGGGCTAGAGAAACATTGGACAAGGGTGGCTTCTTGGTCTTAACAGTTACTTCAGTGTGAGAAGAGCTCAGTTGTTGCTGATACCTTGGCTGAAAACTCGGGGAAGGTAATGGACCCTTCAAGTCTTTTACCTGTGATGATCTTCGCAGGTCTCCAACCTGAATATTAGGAGAAAGGGTGAGTGAAGAATCTTTAATATATTGGCTTTGCTGACCTCCCGAAAAATGAGATGTTTTCTGAGTGATAGGATGGTCTTGCTTATCAAAATTTTCCATTAGATGAGAGTGGTCAATATTTGGTGGCGAGGGAGAGCGTTGTCGCAAAGGTGACTGCCCAGAAGTGGTTTCAGATCCCACAGAATGAAATTGTTGTCCTCCAATTCTTGCATTGGGCAGGAAAGCACGATTCCCCATCCTGGCAGCAGAAGAATTTGCATTGCCTAGTAAGGAACCAGACATTGACATGCACCTGTCCGAGTGACCCAGTTCCTTATCCAATTCATCAATTGATTGTTGCTCCTGCAATTTCCATGATAATGATGGATGATGCCGAAATTGTTTCTTTTGAGTGGCTTGAGATCTATTGGTCATTTCTCTATCAACATTTGTCCCAAAAACATTTCTGATTTGGTGGTGGTTATCTTCAACATCCTGTACAACGGAAACAAAATCAACAAATCTACGTACTAATAATAACAATGCAGAATGAAGAGATGAAATTTAGTTCATTAAATTAACCAATGTACAGGTAATTTAAGGATGTGTTTGAAATTGTAGATAAGGGGTTTAACTTTCGGTAATTAGGGAAACTGCGGTTAATTTGTTGAGGTCCCTTGATGTGTTTTCTCATTTGAGGTATAGAACTTTATTTCTTTTTTATCAAAATATAAAATTCGGTTAGTTGTGTAAGTTATGTTATCCTAGTAACCTACATAAGGCATATTATTTTATCTCAGGGAATTCAATCTTATATAGAAGAGATCATCAAAATTCTGGTTTTTAACATCTCTAAATTACCAAATTCTCATCATCAGCAGTCCAAGCATCGTTGCCCAAGTTGTTGCGAACACCGTGACTAGTCAATCCAGTGTTCATCTCATCCCACATGTACTCCTCTTCCTCAGAATTTTTCCAGCTACTTGACATCACATTTCTCTTTATGCCAGTTATGTTCCGTGTTGGCTGATGTTGTGCATCCGAAATAGTAGTAGCTTCAGTATTTGAAAATCTATGCTTGAGGCCAACACCATTTCTTTGCCCAGATATGGTCCCTGAAACACCGGCAGTAGCTTTGTTGTACAAATTTCTGTGTCCTAACTCGGTTATGCTGCCATCAGTTCTGCCAATACCCATGCCCATATTCCTTGAGAGATTGGACCCATGCTCACTGCCTTCATAGGATGCACTGATGCTCTTTTCTGGAACAGGACCGTCGAATGGGTCTCTATGAGTGTGCTGATTACTCTGCAATGTATATCATTCAAATAAATGACAACTGACAGAGTGAAAAGCATAAAGGAAAAACAAAGACTACTAGCCATAAGTAGACGTTAACAGCAACATGGTCATCATTTGAGATTGCAATATTACCCCAGTCATATCATCAACTCTTTTAGTCTTCATTTCAGAAAGTACATGTCAAAAGGCGTGATATCAAAAAGAAAATGGATAACTAAAGTTAACATGACAAGAAAATATATTGTTAAAAAACTATTGCTATGATTTAATCGGAAAAATTCTCATGCTTGGGCCTCCAGACTAGAGTTGCTTGGCTAGTTTGCATAATAAGTTGGAATTGTTTTAGACCCAACAACTAGATAAAACAATTGTCAGATGAAAAAGCAGGACCTTTCATTTTCATGATTAATCAGGAGAATATGGGAGTAGAGTTCATTAGAAAGATCCAATTGAAAAATCAGTGATTGCAATAATATTGTGTTGTCTTAATAACAAAGATATTAAGATATGATATGATGACACATATCCCCGTTTCATCAACCAAGGAATGACTTGGACTTCCAATCCATCACAGACATAAACCCTGTAATCATGTCATATTTTGATCTTTTCCCGTGAAATCAAAATTTTAAAACTTTGAACTAAAAATTTAAGGTGCAATCATTTCACTTACCCTGCTGGACTCCTGAACACGCTGTCGTTCAAAATACTTGGGATTCACATGTATACTATGAGGTGGTTGATGTGTCTGGGAATCACTCCTGAGTGCAGCAGATGCTGAAGACGAACCATTGACTGCTGGAGTGAAGCCCAGTTCTTTGTCTATAACCTGAAGGGTCTGAGGAGGAAAGACTCCTTTCCAGGTTCCAAAAAGGTGTTTCATACTTTGACGGACAGGAGGATCAACCTGTCGGTATGCCTTGCAGAACACCTAAAATGTAATGGAGTAAATTAGCAAGAACCTAGTTAAAATAGGTCTGTAAAATGATAGACCCTGTCTCATGAAAAACATGCATGTTTAGTGATATGAAGGATTCATTGTTTACCATTGTGACTGTAAAGACATGTTAAAAGACATGATGGTCAATAATGTGCAAAGAGAAGAATTGATATCTAACCTCAGGTAGTTTGGCAGCAAAGTATTTTATGTAATCCCGCCCGATATTCTTAACAATACTGTCTAAGAGATAAAGAGATGGCAGCTTTTGTTCACTAGGAACCTGGAAAGTCATTAGCACAATTAATTGAAAATTTACCTTTCTTTGTATAACAAAAGATAAAAGTATCAATGATCAAGCTAGAAATTAATGTACATAAGGAAAGAACCAAAAACCAATAGTATATAGCTCACAACTAAGGTATTAGCAGCAAATGACGTCAAAATCCAGCAATATTTTATCAACAGCATTACATAGAAGTTATAAAATGTAGTATGTATATTCAGAATGAATTGTTAAACCATTCCTTATTCTAGCTGCCGGTAACAGCCAAGGTCTCACAGTAAGGAGAAAACAAATGGATTAAACAAGCCTAACATTCGACACTTAATTGATAGTGCGGATCATATCTTCTACCGTGGAATAGTTACAACATACAAAGATGAACTAAAGTAATCTTCAAAAACATGACAAATATGAAGTCTTGATTCCTCAGCCTGAATACTGTCCAATCTTCCAAATCATGATAAACACTGACTGATTCCATATGCTCCTTGATCCAAATTGATTGTAGAGGGAAGTATCGACGTTATCTTTATAAGCATGCCATGTGTAACTCGGGCAAACGAAGCGAATCCACAAGTACAAAAGTGAAATGATACAAAGAACAATGTCTTTGTACAACTTTCCCATACAAACTCTAATTCTAAAACAACCCCCGCCAAAAAATGCTGATAAAGTGAATCATCACTCCATATACAAGTCAAACTTATGAAGTAAGATACATTGACTTATGAACTATAAAACAGAGCTACCTTTCCTAAGTGCCAAAGAACTGCACAGTGACATTATATATTGCAAATGTAAAAATGACAAAGAATAGAAATGAAACATTAACTGGCATTGGCTATCATGGAGTAACCATTCTATATTGATACATTATAACTAAATGTTTCCAAACACTCATACTCCCATATGCACAAAAGTCAATAGAGTACAAGAACCGTAGAGACCACACTAATGATTCTTGCGGCGTTTCTCTTGCAACAAATGGATTCCAAAACTGCAGCCATTTCAGAATAAAAACTCTTTTATTTCCTTTATTAATTAATTTTGATTGTAAGGCACCATATTCCCTTTTGGTTCAATTTCCTTTCTAGGTGGGTGAAAGATCTCAGCTCAAAATCAACGCACAGATAAATAAAGCCATGAGCGGGGACCAATTAAATGAAGCTACACAATAAATAACATAACATAAGAAACAACAACATCGATTAAATCAGAAAAACCATATCGAGAGTAATAAAGGGTTCTTTTTCCATTTTTATTCATCTTCTAACAGTACAAAAATCCAATTCAATCAGCAATTAGCTCCATAACACAACCCCTCAAAAAAAAGAAGAAAAAAACTAACCAATTGAACATATAAACAGCTACACAGTGTAAAAACTAAGTTCACCTCTAGAATGTTAGCACATATAGTGGCAGCAACGGCCTTCTCAGCAGCTCGATTTTCGCCTGCAATTATAGTCAGGTTGGTAATTATCAGTTTCGAATTGAAAGTGAGCTCCGCAAGCGCACTCTTATACTGAGCCACAAGCTCCTGAAACGGCAACGGCTGAGGCTGGTAACCGTCGTCGACATTCTCCCCGTCTCCTTCATTTTGTATGAACCGTGAAGCAGAAGAAACTTGCTGTTGTCTCTGTGGAAACATTGGAGAACTCGAATTCGAAGCACGTTCCAGATCTTTCATTAATCTAGGTCGCTTCAAAATCGGTTCTTTCGATCTATCAAACTGTCTTCGCGAATTCTCCATAGTAGATAAAGCAAAATACCAATGAAGATAATAAAATAAATAAAAATACAAACCCTAATCCTAATCCAAATCCAAATCCTAAACCTAGTTTACAGATAATTGATATAGATATTGAAACTAGATTACAAGATGGGAAATGAATACATCGATCAATAGTAAAATTGAATTATGAAAAAAAAATACAAAATTGAAAGAAAAAAATAAACAAAGTATAATTGTAAACTATACTGTATGATACAAATTATACAATAACCCTAATCAGAAATCGGAAGAGAGTAGTAACGGAGAGGGAATTGAGGTTGAGTAGCGTTGAATTGAATGTTGATTCAGTTGATTGGGTGAAGAAAAATGAATTGGATTTGGGAATTTGAGGGAGAAAAGTGAAAGAAATGTTTTGAAGCGTAATAAAAGACGGAGCTGGTTATTCAGACAGATGTACAGATTTCATTTCATGCTGTCTGGATGATATTAAGCCGTTAGATTTGAGATCTGAATGAGTTATATAAGTTAGGGTGGATTGGAGTTTTATAAGATTATTTTGGTTAAAGAAAATTGTAAGATCTATTTTGACTTTTTAGAAGAAAAAAATTAATGATTGTTCAAGTGAAGATTTCTTTTAATTTGAATTTGTAAAAAATAGTTAAAATTTTAAAATTGAAACAAATAAAAAAAATCTTTTAATAATAAAGCAACTTTTGTCTAAGAAAAGATTATGTGATTTTAAATTTTCTTTATTTTTTTATGGAAAAAGACTTAATTCATTTTATTAATAATAAGATTTTGAATTCATGTTGGTATATCATTAAAATTTTGAAAACTAGTAAGAGATGAAGTCGTCTGTGTCAAAACATGAGCAACCTCATTAGTTTGTCTTCTAACGAACTTAACATAAGAGATCCTAAATAAAGGAGCTAACAAGCGATAACATTCTCGAGTAATAGCACCAAAATCTAAATCATTTTGATGCTGAATGTTTTATCCACTACGCTTTCAGCATCTAACTCAAAAACCACATTGTCTAAGCCTAACTCATGCACCCATTTAATACTACCTCTTATCATATTTATAAGAGAAAAATTACTTTTTAGGTTCATTGAATAATCAATGTATCTAGACTGTATCAAGTTCCAGATACATTGTGTAACACCCCCTTCTATACCCCACTTATATATGCATATAAAACAATTAAGCGTATACAAATTCATCAGAGTAAAAATTTTAGGATAAGGTATAAAGGAAGAATGTCACAATTTCACCAACAAAACTCTTTAACATTTTGCTCCATAAAATATGTAACATTTTCAAAATTAAGCGGAAGATCAAATCATTTAATCGTTTTCAAAATATTAATCCACGTACACACAAGTTAATCCAAATTAATACATCATATCAGTTAGATTACACAATCACATCAACTAATACATCGCAATGTATCACAAAAGAATGACTATACTAGTCTAACTACCCGGTGTTACATATCAGAGCAGCAGACTCAAAAGAATGAAGAATACTTCACAAAAGGAACTCCAGCATCCTAATCTGCAATGCCTCGTAGAGCATTATAAAACAGCAGAAGGGTGAGAAATATAACCATAATAATCAAAGCATAAGATTATATATATATATATATATATATATATATATATATATATATATATATATATATATATATATATATATATATATATATAGGTAGGTAGTCATATAACACATATTCACATTCCTCACCACACTTCATTCTCTTAGTCATATATATTTACCACACATATATAGACAAACATGGATATTCACAAAGCATTCCCACCTTATGCATACACTTACAATTTCCACAATCTCATCATTCACACATAAGCATCTCTTCATGCATATGTCATATAACAATGTGACTCAACAACTCAATGCAACTCATGCAATGCGGTACCGACTCTCGTTATCTTTTTTCGGTTTTTACATTAAACCGGGTCCACTCTTCTAGACCGATAACCCGTTATCATTTTTCGGTTTTTACATTAAACCGGGTCCACTCTTCTAGACCGATAACCACAAGGCCCGTCCTCTAAGCCTTCAAACCCACTCTTCTAGGTTTGGGACAAGCCACTAGTTTCCACGAAACTAACAGACATTGCCTCTTGACTAAATGATGCATGTACAATCAACCACAACAAATGCACTTAAGACCGACATCTTAATCTCATGCATTCAAATAATTCATCTCTTCAAGAATTACATCATGATTGCACACACAACCTATCACAATAATCACCAATGTATTCACAATTCAATAATATCACCACATTAACACACAATGCACACATATTCGCGATATGTTCTCATGCATTATCCACATATATATTCACAATTCAATACAACATCATATTTAACAAGCAATGCACGCATATCCATCATTATGCTCTCATGCATTCTTCATGTATTTTAACATACAATCGCATATAAACAATATGCATCCACAACACATTTTTCATAGTATGTTTATTCTTTATCTCATGCCATCTCATACAAGGTATACACATCACAATACCAATCATACAATTATAAGTTATGCACACATATCCACCATGTTCTCATGCATACTCATCACATAATTGTATACACATCAAGCATTCGCAAGTTCATTAGACAATACACATACATTCATCATTGTATTCACATGTATTTCTATTTATCACAATTAATACGCATCGCACATCAACTAGGATTCACGCCCGGAGGCTACCCACAGTACACATCATCACAATAGATCATATCTATATCATATCATAGAGGTATTAACCTATGTGAATCAATCAAACAATCACCACATGAGCAACACAGCAAAAGAAAAATGTTGTCACATTCGCCTTCAGTCGCCTGGCGAACCCTCGCAGCGAACCTTCGCCTAGCGAACTCTCTCAGCGAACCCAAGTCAGTAGCTACTGACTTCATTCGCCACCATTCGCCAGCACCTTCGCTGGGCGAACCTTCGCTATCCAACTTCGCCTGGCGAACTCGCCAGCAAAGTCCACTGGAACTTAGACTTAATTATTCGCCAGCATTCGCTGGGCTTCGCCTGGCGAAGCTTCGCCTTCGCTCGCCTGGCGAGAGCCAGCGAACCTGCGCAGAACAGAACCCTATTCTGCCTCTCCTTCATCAATCCATCATCAACCAAACCTCAAACATCCAAATCAGTACAGATAGCATCAATACATGTTACCTGACTATTCTACGGCATTATTGCTCAGTTCCAACCGATTAAATCATCAATCTACTGATTAATCCAACATTTGCCCTAATTGGAAAGTGATGGAAACTCTACCAAAACCCCAACCCAACATACATAACATCATGCAATGATCAAATAGAAACATTTCTCACCCTTACCTCGATTAATCGGAGCTTTGATGTTGGTTCTTGATGATTTTTCCACTTTTCCTCTTCTTCTCCTCTCTTTCTCTTCTTTCTTCTTTCTTCTTTCTTTCCTCTTTCTCTCCAAATGTTTTCTCTAATTTCCTTTCTCTTCTTTCTCACTTATATATCCCTTTTATTTTCTTTCCTTCCAATTTCCTTTCAATTCTCTATTAATTCCAATTAATAAAAATTAATTCCAATATTAACATAAAATCTCACTAAATCAATTAATTACTACAATTAATTATTTAATGAAATTTGGGCTGTTACACATTGATTATTCAATAAATCTAAAATATCAATTTTCTCTTATAAATAGGACCAGATGGAGTAAAAGTCAAGAGGCTTGGAGTTTCCCCCACATCGACATCAGTATTAGGGTAAAACCCATGTCCAAACAGCAACAAACACTTAACCATCATCTCTAATGCAAACACTTATTCCCACCTTGTTGTTAGAAAAGGATGCATCAATGTTGCATTTGAGTCGACCAGTTGAAGGTTTGTTCTATTTGATATCATTTGGCAATTGTGATTCGGTTGTATGAATCGATCTGAGTTGTTGGGCATTTCTCCAACCTAACAATAAGTGCAAAGCACGATGACAAATAGATTTTGGGGAGTCTTCGATATGATTCCAGATAAGATTATTCTTGCATTTCCAAATACTCCACAAAATGGTTGAGAACACTGCTTGACTCTTAATTTGAGCCTTGTAAAAAGGAAAAGATTAAGGTAGCAAAGGTTACTTCATTATTCATCAACTGCTGCAACATAGGCCAAAGAACCACTTTTTCCCAACACTCAATACTCTTCAGACGCTGGAGGAACAAATGATTATAATTCTCCTCTCCTTACCCCATAAACACCACAACTAGTAGGGCATTCAACACCTTTGTCTTTTAATTGCATTCTTGTTGGCACACAGTTTCTGCATAGACGCCACAGAAAGTTTCTGACCCTTGAAGGGATATTTATATTCCAAATTTAGGTTCCACTTCTCATCAATCCTTAGGTGAGAGGTATCAATGGCATCATTAATGCAGAACAGATAAGCATTGCGCACAGAGAACCTACCATTCTTTTCCAACTTCCATACTAACTTATCCACCTGGATTGTCTCAAATAATGGAGTGTTGAGTACTTTAGACGCAACTCCCTCCCTTAATAGAGAATAAATCAAGTTGGAATTCCATTGTTAACATTAGTACTAAACAGGTCCGAAACTTTAAGATTATCGCATACGGGTTATTCGGCCAAGAATTGTCCAACGAAGTGCTATCATGAAGCCACTTTTGCCCCCAAACCGGGATACTCTCTCCCGAACCAATACTTCATTTATATCCTTCTCGCACCATAAATTTTAAGCTCCAGACGCTCCGCCACACATAGCTGGGATTGTGCCTAATATTTGAATCAAGGAAATCACATTTGGGAAAGTACCTAGCCTTGTAGATACAAGTAACTAAGTTGTGAGGCTTTGTCATGAAACTCTAGGCTTGTTTACCAAGCATAGCATAATTGAAGACACTCAGATTTTCGAACCCCATACCTCCATCAGTTTTGGACATAGATAGACGATCCCAAGAAAGCCAA